GATGTGTTTAATGCAGATTATGCATTTCAAACTAAAGGCTGATTTACTATGTTTTGTTTATCGCTTGTCACCAGAGGCAAGGTGGCAATATTGCTTTAATTTTTTTATTTTATTTTTTGTCTTTCTGTCTATTTCTCTGTGCTGTTTGCAAAGTGTTCCCAAATTTTCAATATTGAAAAAGAATGGATATAACATTATTCACAAGATTTGACCAAACCTCTGCGACTCCCCTCTCAGTCAAAAATTATCTGATTGTAGCAGGCAAAGAAATGCTATTATGCTCCTTTATTGTTCGTTTTAAGCCAAAGTCACAGGAAATAAATTAAATGATTCTTGCAGTAACATAGTTTGTGTTTAGGAGCAGCCAAACACCGAGCAGGTTTAAGAGTTTTATTGAAAAACTGGAAGCTGGTGGGAAGGTGGGGTCTTGGGCTGGAGCACATTGAGGAGCAGAACAAAAAGTAACTTGACAGATCCAGGTAATGAGACCATGGCTCTTGGGCTGTGAGAAACTGTGACTGAGAAAAGGGGCAGGGTTGGTTCGTTGGTCTGCAGGCAGAAGTCAGGACTGTGTGGTCAGAGAGGTGAAAACAAATCCAAAACAAAATCCAAAAGGCAAGGTCCAAGGGGCAGAAATGAGGTCATGATCCAATGGTCAGAAACATGAACAGTACCAGGCAGGGATCAGTCAAAAAGGGAAAGTCAAGAGGCAGGCTTGAGGTCATGAACAGGAGAACAGGGATACGCGAGAAACTGTTGGACATCTACTTGGCATGAACTATTCAAAGATGTGGCAACTAGTGACTGTAGGCATGGCGCTTAAGAACAGGTAGAGACATGAGCTTGATTGCTGAGAGGGAAAACAAGAKGGCGTGGCAAGAGCAGAGGAGATGTGAGGGTGTGGGTGACAAGCAAACATGATTACTCAGGTAAAGGACATTACAGACACRGAACATGAAATTTTACRTAAAGATCAAGTTAATGATCATCTTTTACCTTTAGCAGAACATAATCTGTGCAAAATAAGTAAAATGCTACTTTAACAAACAAGACTATGTGTACTAAGTAAGTATTTAGACTTATCTGTCTGACATCACACTCAACATCAGTTCAACAGAATGGTGTAAATTCATCAGTTCATCATCATGCTGAGCTAAAACAGGATTCAACAAGTGCACACAACATTTACTAAGCCCAAAAACCTATCCAGAGTTTCCACCTTGTCCGCAGCTTCGGGGCTGACATTCAGAAGGAGATGGTCTGATACCAGAACAGCAATGTTGTCTAATGCAGGGACAACCTGTACACAACACATAAAAAACAGAAAGTCAAACAATGAAGCAAAATGAAAGTGATAACTTCAGAGTTCAGTAAAAATTAAAACAATAAACATGAAGAATTTTCTTTTACAAATACAATAAAAGAAAGAACTTTATTTGTAAATTGTCTTCAAATAGGTTTTTTGGTGTTTAAAGTAGTGTTTAAATAATGACTATTTAACAAACAATTAAATAATATTGTGGCATTGCACATGAAGCAACATTGTTATAAAAACTGAAAAAATGAAGTGAAAAATGTTTGAATCAGAATACAAGAAATGCCTTAAGTTAAAATAATTTTAAAAAACTGGAGGATTTTGATGAGTTCAGGAGGGAACAAACAACAAAATGAGATGACTGAAACAAATTCTATGCAAAAAAAATAAAACAAGAAAAGTGTACTGACAAAAGGACAAAGTGGATCAATATTTTTGACTATGGATATTTATAAATATTAATTAATTTAGTAT